TCGATATGGTCACAACACTGTCAGTGCCATTGCCACCCTTTCATTTACCGGGAATACCGGGAGCATGCCATTTATTTTGGCGTGTTTAATCGCGGTAACCTAGTTTTTACAATATTTTATGCATATATCATAAAGTACCGTGCCTTGACACAAAGTTATCTTACGGGTGTATAATATTTTATAACATCCGATTACAAGAATGCTAATAATTTATTTAAATCCAGTTTTCAAACTAATATTCTAACAGTGAACCGGCAAAAAAAATAGAATTCCAAGAAATTAGAACTGAGTAAGCTGGTTTTCAATAATCTCTGATAATTTATTCTTATATAAAAGACCTCTTATTTATTTCTAATATAAAAAATCTATTTCTAATATAAAAAACCCAACCCAATAAAAACAGAGCTACGCTTCCCACAAATGCAAATTAGATAAGCACTATTTTTTACTTGAACAAGTGTGCGAACAGTCTGCTGTTTCATATTAATTACGTTGCGAGAATTTAATTATTTAGTGTTCAATCATTATTTTATTATTCTGAATATCGTATCGGATATGAATTTGTACCGGTATACATTATGATGTTTTTACAAAAACCTCCATCGCGTCGTGGGGTCGTCGCGTTCCCTTGCGGGGGCGCGGAGCGGGCCTCGGGGAAACCCTTCTGCCCGGACTGGATCTCCCTACCTATTGAGGCAGGGGTGATGCACTGCGGGATGGTGTGTAGCAGGCTCGAGGTGCGTGATGGGACGACTTCTTTCTTCTCTTCCCTTTTCTCTTCATCTTCATTTCTTCTTTCTTCTCTTCTTCGGGGGGGCGGCTGCTGCTCTCCTCAATTTTTTTTCCTCCACTCATTTTCTCTCTCATTTTTTTTTTACAATTTAGTCTTAACCTAACTTAACCTAAAGTAAACCTAACTTAGTCTAACTTAGAACTAAGTGACGGTAGCGCGCCGCTCCTGCACTCCATGGAGTGCCGGGGTAGCGCGCGCCGTCACACCTAAGCCTAATCTAACTTAACCTAACATAACCTAATCTAACTTAACAGGGGGGAGAGAGCAAGCCGCGCTCTTCACTAGAGTCCTCCCTCCCTCTCCCCATTGTTACAATTTTGATGGGAGGGAGGACTATAGCGGGTATGAATACCCCATCCCAAAAGGGGGTGGGGTCAAAGCCCCTATTGAAACTGAGGCTGGACCTACGGGGTGCAGCCGCGCTCCCCATACGGGGGACTCGCCAAACGGGCAAGAGGCGTGGGACTAGAGGCTGATGAAACTCAGCTCCGAGAGGGGCGCTCATAGGTCCTCCCCGCCCTCACGGCCGGCGAGGAGCTTTATCTCCGAACGATCGTCGGGGGTACCAATAGCTCCCGCGGCAACGCCGTACCATCCGGTGGTCTGGCGTGCAGCGGGGCTATGCTGTGGAGATGCTCATGGGGCCCGTTTTCGGCTCGCTCGTACATATTCCGTCTTGAGGTGCACCGGGAGTTCCGCTCTGGGCCCCCTGCTGGGTACCAGCAGCAGTTCTTCCACTGCGTACAAGCGGGCGAGGTCATCCTTGGAGAGGTGGTCCAGGGTTACGTAAAAGACGCAACCCGACCGCCCTCTCTTGGCCCGTATACACCGAGCATAGCGAGCCGGAAACCCTAACTCCTTTAAAGTGTCTACGATTTCTGCCGCATCGGTGTCGGCAGGTAGGCCTCGAATTGCCACTCTCGCGGGAATGTCCTCCTCCAATGCGTAACAGTACCATTTAACGGCCCTGTCAGCGGAGAAGGCTCCCGCGAGATAAGCTTGGACCACCCTATACTCCTCTGCCGACGCAGGCAGAAATCTGAAGCCTGATCCGTAAGGGCGCACAGAGGGAGCCCTCCCCAAGCGCTCCCTGATGGCCGCCATGTGGCGGGACCAATTGGGGAGCGTTTCCACCATAATGGGTGGATGGCGGCGTGGCTCATCCCCGGCGAGCGATTTAGTCGGGGCAGGGGCATTAAATTGTGGGTGTAGTGTAGGCGCCGGTTGCGTCGCTGCAATGGTCGCGTATGAAGTCGAAGGCACTGGAGAGGGATTGGGGATGGAGTTGGGTTGGGGGTTGGAGACGGTTTACTCCAGGTTGCCCACCGTGCAGCCTGTGGTGGGGGCACCCCTGGGGACGAAGGTCCAATACGTGGCCGTTTGTCCATCGCCTCGGAAGAACTCTGGTCGGACTCGGACCTGGCCTTCTTCCGCAGCCGAGGATTCGCCAGCGTTAAAAAAAAACTCCCATTCGGCCCCAATGCGAGGAGAAGAAATAAAAGTGAGTAATAGAACGGGGATAATGCAGTGTCGACTACGGCAACTACGGTTGAGTACCACTGAATACAACGACCAAATAAAACAAAACAAAAATAATGGAAAAATTAATTAATGTATCTATGTTTAATAAATGATAATGAATATAATCATCTAATTTTAATTTAATTAAACCGATAACCCAGCCATCCGTTGGCCCGCCATCATCAATGTCCTACAAGTGGTTATCTTACTACTAAAAAAAAAATTAATTAACTGAGCTACATAAACAGAATAATAAGTAAACTGAACTAAATAACTAAGTCTACTATAAGTAAACTAATATATACAGACAAATATAAGGTGTGACACCATTCAGCAAGAAGCAATAATATTGATAGTGACAATATCAATGCTCTCGGATCGGCCGGCGGCGACCGGGCAGTGTGCCCTGAATTTTGGGGACCTAAAACAAAAGTTTCAGGTCCGCAAATGAGCCTGGCCCCCGCACCAGCTACCCCCAGCCACCCAGCGGTCAGGGTTCGGACACCTAACTACTTAATATTAATAAAAACAAGAATTTCAGTATGATACAAACTATACCTAGGGGGACAAAATAAAATAATATTATAATAAGAAAAGATAAATATTGGTGCGGAACCACTAAGTCCAGTCAAGACAGCCGCTGGGACCAAAAGGAAAGAAGGATTTAAGTTAATGAACCACAATGAATCTAATAAAAAATTTGTAGCTAGAACTATGGACAATACAACTATTACTAGGCTATTATAACTAAAAAGAAAGACCCTCAGTATTGAGGATTATCGACGCAAGGAGGAGGAGTGTATGCTAAACGATATTAAAAATACTATTTATTTCTTTAAAAAAAAATGTATATCTTTGAGAATCATCCCAAAAGTTTTCACTGTAAAATGTCTAAATTCATGATATTCCGAGTAAAACATACGAGTGGTTTCAATTAGCAGATGTGTTCGACATGTGCAATTTACGTAGGTATTAAATGTTCTTCTTTAGAAAATCCTACACGTTATTAGTAGCAGCCATACAGAACTAGTATGGTAACGTTCAAATACTAATTAGTGCGCTTACAATACTAGAATATCTAGTTTTTATAACAGCACAGTTATTAAGATGGTTGAGTAGAACATAATGGTTAATAGGAGGCTACTTCGAGGCGACTATTTTTTACATGGACCAAGCAAACGAGTTAAAGACTCTCACGACAAATGTAACACAGAAACGAATGTAAAAACTAAAATTAAAATTAATTCAACTTAAACATCACAAAAAAACACATTTGTCGAATATCAAACCATTGTGATCCCTACCACCAGTACTAAGAAAAGCCTGAGAAGTCCTGAGAAGAAAAGGCGAAACAAACTCGGCGGGATTATTTTTTGATTTCTAATACTAGATATATATAAAAATGAACTGCTGTTCGTTAGTCTCGCTAAAACTCGAGAACGGCTGGACTGATTTGGCTATTTTTGGTCTTGAATTATTTGTGGAAATCCAGAGAATGTTTAAAAGGTAGATAAATATGAAAATGCTCGGAATTAAATAAAAATAACAATTTTGTTTTTCCGTTGATGTCTCCTACGTCGGACGGATTCCTTTTGTTTGTTTTAAGTTTATTTATACAAAAGTTTAGGTCTTTTATTTATCGACTAAGGCACTACGAAGTCCGCCGCCGGGTCAGCTAGTACTAGATATAAATATTTTTACATAAAAAATTCAACATCGGCAACATTGCCTCATAGTTAGATGGCATAGGACATGGCACTATGAAGGGAGTTACAAAGCTCGTTTTCATTTCTGAAGAAGGACATACAAACACCAAGTTCCAAGTACCGAGGGTGGTAACAGCAGAACACTTCAATCTGATAAAACAGTATTATGGTGTACTGTAATTGTGATATTTGTTCTATTGGAACTTCATCTCCTTTTGGCCTTTTCATTCGCAAACTATTCCAATCTCCGCAACTAATTTCCCTACAATTTTACTAAGGTAATATTGCCCGTCCTCGCACCTGTTTTTAAATGCTCAATCGTTTCGCATAATGGATTACGTAGCTGCCATACTTATTTTCCTCTTTACTGCCAGGAATCTGGGAGTTATTCTGGCTTCACCGGGAATGTTGAAGAGCTCCCGGGGAGCCGTCTCTCAGGCTATTGCTAACATTTGCCATAGCAAGAGCAGTGCTTCGTTGAAACTACCACCGGATCGGATCTTTTGAGGAGATCCGGCGAGAAAATCAATGGGTTGCCGCAATATTATTTACACTCGTATCTTAAAATGGGTGGCGGGATAAAGGCTCCGTTTGAAACTGACTGTTGTGAGCGCGTCGACCAGTCTGAAGCCGTGAGATGGCGCTAACCAAAACTCGACAAGCAAAATATTTATTCAAACGGGTTTCGCGTTAAGTAGTGATTCTCGATATTCGTACAGCACTGACGTACGTAGTCTTGTAGCGTTTGATTTAAGTTCGTTTTAACATTTGCGATTGTCTTATTTACAAATTGAAAATGGCCTTACAATTTTAGGTACTCGGTCTTAAAAGGTTAAGTTTGATTGCATTTTGTACATGTAATTATTAAATGGCATTCTGATATTATTTAAAAAAGTTACTTATTGAGATTTACATTTTATTTCTAATCCAGATAATTCAAAATGAACCTTCTATATTATAAATGTTTAAGCAAGACTCACCATCAGTAACATTGGCAATTTCGGTGTCATTCTTGGTGATCTTGTCCATCTTTGTAACAAGAACTGCAGAGGTCGTGACCGGAATCGCGGGCTTCGCCGAAGATGCAACATCGCGACGGTGACGATCGAGACTCACTGCTGCGGTCGTTGCACTCTTAGAGAACCAGCTCGGAGTGAAGAATTCTTCGCGCCAAGCTGCTAGAAAAAAAATATCGCACGTTAGCTATAGAACATTGTGACCAGAATATTATTGGCCTGTCCACAATGGACAACCACAAGAGTTATTTATAGAGTAACGGTTATGTTATCTATACATATAAATAATATTGTTGTGTCTGTTTTTAATATTGAAATAGCCGCTTTTTACTACATGCATATGAATATATATACGGTACATACACCAAAATAGCATTTTTTACAATTTTTGTCTGTCTGTCTGTTTGTTCTGGCTAATCTGTGGAACAGCTGGACCGATTTTGACGGGACTTTCATAGCTGATGATATAAAGATTAACTTAGGCTACTTTTTTTAGACTAGCTTCGCCTCGCGGCGTCACCCGCGGTACGACAATAACCGCGGGTTAAATCGCGGGACTTAGCTATCAACAATTAAATTTAATAATGTTTCCGAAGCGAAGCGAGGGCGGATCGCTATAATAAATATAATCATAGTCCCCGAAGCGAAGCGAGGGCGGGTCGCCAGTACTTTATAATAGTGATGGTTTAATTTCTTATTTTTTTGCAAAATTTTTATAGATTCATGATTATGGGCTGCTTTGAATTGCATGTTCTAAACTGTAAGCAACTTTTTGGACTGGGAGCGTGATACCCTATTAATATTGTCAATAAATGGTAAAAAATACGTATGCCTCTAGCTTATTTTATTTACTCGTTTAAAACCTTTTAAAACGTAATAAAAATTGATAGTGGTTTTCTAATGGAGGTAGGTCACGATGCGATAAGTTAACATACATTCGAGTAGGTATAATCAAATATCAAAGCAGGACTACAATTCTGTCGAGAAACTATTATATGTTCTGCTATGTAGGTCAGCAATTGAAGAGATAGGATTCATTATTTGGTAGGGCCGTGACGGACTAACGAAACTTTTAAAGACGCAGTAACTCAAAGGATAAGACGTCTGGTGTACTCATAAGCGCATCACACGACTGATGCGCTATGCCAGTGTTCAAATCCCGCAGATAGATACTTTTTTTCTTTTCTTAAAATAACTTTACTTGTCTTCACGAATTATTTCCAAGTGTGAATAACATCGTGCGATAAAAAAAAATGTGAGCCGTCACGGGACGCCTGGCAGATGTGAAACATCGACATTATTTTTTAAAAGTAATATGCAGAAAAGCACAGATTGTGATAGGAACTAAATATGTCAGCTATGATTGACGTGAACGAAGGTCATAGCGTTATCTACATGAAATATACCTAGTCAGGTCATAAATTCTGTCACATGTCTAATGTAAAATAATTGAAACAAGTTTATTCGTTATGTAACCATTCATATACCAAAATGAACTTAACAAAACATAGATTCTTATGACACTGAAGTTTATTCAAAATGACCTCTGTGATTTTGAATACAGGCCTTCAATCTGCGCGGCCAGTCGTCTATCGCAGCACGAACGAGGTCCATGTCAATATCGGCGGCTGCCTTAATCAAGGATGTCTTGAGTGAGTCCAATTTGGGATGAGGCTTTGAGCACGCCTTTTCCTCCAAGTGTTGCCATATCTTGTGATCTAACGGATTCAAATCTGGACTGGAGGAGGGCCAGTCTTCGTGCCGGATGAAGTCGATTTCACGCGCCGCCAGCCAGTCTTGTGTGCTCTTCGCTCTATGAGCTGGCGCCGAATCTTGTTGGAATACCCAGTGCCTGTTATTGAACATGGTATGAGAAACAGGTTCCACAAGGTTCGTCAGGACTGTATTTTGATACACAACTGCATTCGTTTTTACACCTTTCTCACAAAAATGTACCTCTGTTAAGCCCCAATAAGAAACTCCCAACCATACCATGAGCGAGGATGGAAAATGACCTCGTTGGACACGCGGAATACGGTTGCTCGCTTCTTCACTACTGTGTGCGTACACCTTATCATTTTGTTTGTTGTAGCTCTCTTCTACGGTAAAAATTTTTTCATCCGAAAAAAGAATTTCCCGATATTTTTTTCCCGCGTACCGCTTCAACAAAGCGCGGCATCTCTTCAGTCTCAGGTCCATTAGACGAGCATTCAAACGATGTCCTGTTTTTCTTCGATATGCCCGAAGCCCTAAGTCTTCATTTAACACCCTTTTCACCGTGGTTCTGCTTAACCCCATCTGAAGGGCCAACAGTTTCTGCTTACGTTTGGGATTTCTTTGAATTCGCGCCTTCACAGCTTTTATCACTGCTGGAGTCCTAACAGACCGAGGGCGACCACTTCTTGACCTGTCATCTACACTAGAGTCTTCATTGTATCGTTTGATGGTACGATAAACGAATCTTTTGGTTATATTCAAATTTTTCAGTATGTTAAAAATTTGAATTGGCGCGTAACCGCAACGATGCAACGCAATAACTGCAACACGGTCTTCTTTAAGCGTCCACTCCATATTTAAAAATGAGTAAAATTCTAAAAGTATACATTTTTATTTTCATGAACAATTCGAAATTCGAATTCAATAAACTTTTTTGTGGCCAGCATTCTAAAAGAAAAGTTTTTACTGTGTGACAATACTTATGACCTGACTAGTTATATCGGTATATAGAGTACAATATAGCACGGGATAATTAGCACGACATGCTGAATGTTGAGTATCATCTATACTTTACCTTACGGATGGTATGTGGTTAGCGATACTGTATTAAGCCCTGTTGATGTTAAGCATTCACAAGATTCCGAAGAGAAGATAAAATGCCAAGAAGGCACCAAGGTCGTAGTACTAACATTAGAACAAAGGTAAAGGAATATCAGAAAGTGAAGATTGTATCAATATAAAGTTATAAATCCAACAAGTGGACGAAAATAAAAACTTAATATTCGGGCTATATTGTGTCTACTGCAGTGTTTTTTATTTATTTATTGCTTAAATGGGTGGACGAGCTCACGTGGTTACTGAAGTCCATAGACATCTACAACGTAAATGCGCCACCCACCCTGAGATATAAGTTCTAAGATCTCAGTATTCTTACAACGGCTACCCCACCCTTCGAACCGAAACGCATTACTGCTTCACGGCAGAAATAGGCGGGGTGGTGGTGCCTACCCGTGCCTACTCACAAGAGGTCCCACCACCAGTTAAACAAGTGTAGTTTAATAATGAAACTTTCGGATGAGGTAGTCAGTAAATTTCAGTGTTCCAGAGCTGGTGCTTCATACAACACCTTATCGTTATCGTCTTCCACTTTTTATCATCTGTAACGGACGTGACGTCAGCTGTCATGCCCTGCCGCCAGCCAAGCCGCCAAGCCATGTTAACACGCCCCCTTCCGCCATCGCCACCGCAGCCGCCGCCAGCCAAAGCCAACGAAGGGGGGATAGTGTTAATAAAACAAGCCGTGCCAGCCATTTCTACCTGCTTTCTGCTTTCTCGCACAAATAGAAGAACTTGTCGTTACGCTGCTGGTTTTTATTGTCACATCTTTTGCAACATATCGTTATAAAATGACTAAACCAATTAAACTAATATTCTAGATAATTAATTAGGTAACGTATAATTAATATGACAGAGGTCTGTGGTGTGTGCGCATTCCTTAATCTACGGTAGGCAGCGGCTTGGCTCTGCTCCTGGCATTGCTGAAGTCCATGGGCGACGGTAACCATTCACCATCAGGTGGGCCGTATGCTCTCGTCTGCCTACAAGGGCAACAAAAAAACCTAAACAAAAATCAACTATTTTAAAATTCAAGACACGTTTATTAGATTTTACGTCACTAGTTTAGTTAGAATTTTCTAAGAGACTACTTTAGTCCACGTGGACGTAGTTACGGGCACAACTATTCTTTTTTTTTTTAGTTCTAACAAGATAAAAACTGACTGGTCTTTATTTATAAGTTTTATACCTAAGATTATCCTATTAAAATAGAAACGAACTTATAAGCACGCTTACGTTTTAAATTTTAGTTTTTAAACTATTTTTACGTATTACATTAAACTCAAAACTATATTTATGTTGAAAGAATAAATGTTTCTTTTAATAACTTTGTTAATCAGTACAGTCATTTATACAACGATTCGCCTGAATTGTGTTATCATTACGATTTTTATTGTAAATACAGTTCTTCTTCACGATAACCGATTATAAAGTAAAATTGTCGATCGAGACCTAATGGATTCGTAACGAGGCGGCAAACGACACGGTTGCATTTCGAATTGTTCATTCGAGAACTTTCCACAGGAATAATATTGTAATGGTTTAGGTATATTATTTTTGAAACCGGTCGAAATTAATAACAAGTTTAATATTTGCAAGATTTTCCTTGAACGTTGAGTAAAAATTTGAACGTCGTTGCGACTTAAAAACGACGATTGACTGACTGGAATAAAATAAAATGTCGGAATGCCGCCTTCGATATTGAAGAAACTTTAGAATAGGCTAACATTTTATTACAATTATTTTTATTTTAAAATAATTGAAAACTGTAGTCTTGCCGTATTGTCCTGGCTTTTACTTAATTTTAAAGGTTTTCAAGTTATTAGAAAATTTACGCTATTGTGTCTGCACACCCTCGCCACCGATTTACACCAGGTAGGTAGTAATCTGGGCTGCCCAACTACATCGGATGATCCAAACCAGCAATGATATGTGGTATTCCTATTTCTGCCGTGAATCAGCAATGCGTTTCGGTTTCAAGGGTTAAGCAGCCGTTTCTATACTAATATATAAATCTACAGTGTTTTTTGCGGATGTTCCGTTATAACTACTGAATCGTGCATCCGATTTACTTGAAACTTGATATCCATGTAGAAAATACATGTACTTAATGGATAGGCTAATTTTATATGAGTGTTGGACTCCCTACACCAGTTGCGGGGGCGTTAATGATGAGAATCTTTGTGGGGGTGAGAAATAATAATGTTAATTTTTAAATGCCCAGCGAAGCGGACGGGTACAGTTAGTTCTACTATAAAATTGAGAAGTAGACGGTCTAAAGGTGGGTGGCAAGTGTTGATGTCTATGGGCTTCGGTAACCGCTCACCGGA